AAAAATCATTTAGAGCAAATTTATTTGTATTTAAGCATGCTTTTAATTTCGCCTATATCCGCGTGAAAGTGCAACCTGAAATTGGGCTTTAAGAAAAAAAAATACTCATAGCCTTTGCCCGTTGCCCCCATTTGAATATGAAAATCAAATCATTGTTTGCCCCTAAATCAAAAATAGAAAATAAAAAGTTGTGTGTATGTAATGTAATATAACATTGCCAGCCGCCCATTAAGACTTAGCGTAGGGGACCTGTCATTCTCTGCTTCTTTTTATTATGTGAAATCATCAACTCCCGTGAAAGTTCTTATTGGAGTTTTCCTATAAACCACTGTGCTACGGCTACATGGGGCAGAGCTTATCTGGATTACTTCACAAGTGTGTGGTATTTTATAGCATGTTGAGTCAAGTTTTTTAAGATAAGTTTTATGTGATGGGAAGTGATAATACCTAATGATGTAAAATAGTGGGTGGTTTTTAAGGAATTATAATTGCAAATGTGTGGATGAGTCCTGGTGTTTTCAGAGGGGTTGGCCCTTTTCAGTCGTCACATTGAAACCTAATGAGGCAAGGCAAGGTTAATTTGGTCAAAATGGTGTGTTTTTTCCCATTGAACAAACGTACATGTGTATAAATAGTGCTGTTAAATTAAACGAGTTTGGTTCGCCTCGGCTTGTTAAGACTCGAATCCAGACCAAACGAGCCAAACTCAACTCGATTAGATAAGGTTCGTTGAAGCTCGAAAGAGAATTTTTATATAATTTTCTATGGTTCGGCTCGTTAAGACTCGAGATCGGCTCGTCAAGACTCGAACTCGGCTCATTATTAATAATAATCGAGTCGAGATCGAGTTCGATTTCAGGCTCGTTTATTTAACGAGTCGATCTTGGTTCGAGCTTGTTTCCGAACATATGTATACATATGTGTTTGTGTGTTAATTTGTTAATAAAAGCAAATGTCTGTAGTGCAGTCACATATCGCAATTAATTGGATGAGTGTTGATAGGATTAGATAAAGTCTCAGTGAAAGAAAGATGGTAGAGGTATAGGGAATAGAGTTGAAAGGTGAGTATGAGTTGGTATGGTTCGTAGATTGATAAATCTCATGAATTGTACCGAAATTTGGAGGTCATTAAAATTTGATTTCCAGAATCGTACCAAAAAATTAGGAGTACTGTTCGGTTCGGATACTTTTATTTTTCGGTTCGGTTCGATTCGGTATTCGGGACTATTGGGAGGTTCGGTTCGGTTTGAATCTTTGGGAATTTCTATTTATTTTTCAATATTATTTTGAATGACTACAGTTATATTATAATATATATATATATATATATATATATATATATATTAATTCAATATTTATCAATACTTTATCATATTTAAAATATTAATTTGAAATCGACTTTAGAAGTAACTCTAAATTATAGTAAAGAATAAATTTGTACAACTGATAGTGAAAATCTAAAGTTCAAACAAAATATAATATAGTTTTCTTATAATAATATTTCTTTAACCTCCCATACCATTTTAGTTATAAGATAGAATAAGACTAAGAAAAATATTGTCAAATTTAAGTAAAGTTCAAATATTTTTAAATTCTATATAAATTTTTTAAAACATGAAAATTTTAACTATATACCAGGTATTAGTTATTACTAAGTATAAAATTTAAGTAAAATTTAATTATTAGTATAATATTTTATTTATATTATTAATATTTTCAAATCTATACTTATATAATAAGAATTAACATTTATCCAAAATAGTAGGTCAAAGTATGGTCAATGTCGGATTTGCATTAAATATTTTCCAAAACCGGTAAGGTTTTTTTTTCTTTTCACACTTCCATTAATTATGTCATTTTCACACTTCTCATTAATTATGTCCTTTTCACATATCTAATTAAATCATTCCATATGAGCTTTCATCGTTAAAATGTATAGCAATCTGTTATGACCTTATCTCATTGATATTTCCATGAAGCGTTCTTATCGCGTTCTATTTTTTGGTAACCACTCTATATCAATAACCGAAGATTTGGTTAATGATAGCACACGTCTTTATTTCAAGGAGTGGATATTCTTTGACCTTTAATAATCTGAACTGATTGCCTTGACTTTTCAATTTTTAAAAACTCTTTTTTTATCGCACGTTGGTCTTTTCCTGAAGAAACCCGTTTTTAGTCACGGTCAATTATATGTTATTGCTTCGCGTGTAAATAATAGAAGGGGATTGAAATATTAGTTTGTGATAATGAGGAGTTACTAAATAATCAAACTCATAATGTTGTGTACAAGGAGGTTTTTAATAATTTATGATTGTTACCAAACTTTTTATGATTCAACAATGTTCCTATGTATTTTAATGATTTCAATTTCGATCCTAATGCACGTGAGATTATGTTATTCTTCCAAATTTTATATCCTGTGCATTGCACAGGTTACGTACTAGTTATATAGAATCAAAATTGACATATAATATAGTGAGAGAGAAATAGGGACACTCAAATATTTTATTTTCATAGATAGTGAGAGATGAACTAGGGACACATAAAGATTTTTATATTGGTGATGTTTAAGACTTCATGAAACTATTAGCTAAGGATAATATTAAAAAGGAGAGAATATATGTCCACTGCCAGTAGTTAAGATGATGATTGCTAGAGCCTATATTAATTTGGTTGATAGTTGATTGCAACAGATCCGTATGTATAAACAAAATAATATTTACTAAAATTATTAGCAAAAAAATTGAAAACATTTAAGGTGTATTTGTTTATCAAAAAACTCAATTCAAATTTAAAATTTAATTCAACTCTATTATCTTTAATTTTATCGATATAATTAAATAATATCGATCAATCATTCTTATACATCAAATTAATATTAATTCACTATTTATCTACTCACATAATTTTAACTCACCATTACTTCACTTCATCTCTCTCCTACTTTTATATCAAATCAACTCTCCTACTTTTATACAACACAGTGTTTTAAGGTTAGGAAAATGGCAGGTTGTTGAGATAGGAACAACAACAGGTCGAGCGAGGACTCTAGGATAGTGTGATCGAAACTCAACCGGGAACTGGAGAGGTCAATTGACGACCACAAAGACAAATTTTGGCTCAGCAAGGCCAAAATAGTCAAAATAGAAGGAACCGAGCTGTTTAGCTCGGTTATGTCTAGAACAACTACTTATGGAGGTAGAATAGTGTGAACATATCATATAGAGAATAGTTTCAGTGCGATTGAATAATAATAAATTTTGGACAACATAACTACTTGGGCAACTAGACTGGAAGTCTGAGCGCTCGGGCATATTTGGGGCAGCCCGGGCACTAGGGCTACGAGATCGAGTAGATCTTGGGCAACAACGTAGTGACTCTATATAAAGTGTGAGGTATGATCATCAGTCTTCTTCTACTCTTTGAACAATCTAAGCTAATATACACCATACAATTTCATCCATGAAAACTAACTTGAGCGTCGGAACTTTTACGCTGAGACAACCCCGAGTGGTTGTAGATCATTCTAGCAGTTCAGGGACGGTTCAAAAGACGATTGACTAGATCAAGTTATTTTACACTACACACTATTTTATATAGTCTTTTCTTGTCACAACCCTCTCTTTTAAATAAGTTTTATATCCAATTTTTTCAAAACTAGTTTTTGTAACCTAGTAAGCTAATTGAATCATCTATTTACCAAACACTAAAATTAAACATTTTAACAAACCAGATCGATCGAACCTCTAATTTGAATTCAAAAAGTTTGACAAAACAAATCCATTTGCAACTATACTGCTATACTATATAAGAAAATGTTGTAACCTACTATATGTTGCATTCTATAGTGACACTAAGCCGAAATGTTTGGATAAAGTATAGATGATAGCAGATAAAACACTATAATATTTTAAAACAAATATATATTTAAAAAAAAAAAGGTTAGAAGCTCCTTAAAATATAACTTGGAAAATAAGTTGACTATCTCCCGCATTTTTAATATCTTACCAACTACCATATCTTATTTTATGTTATCCCGTGCAAACTAAGGTCCACTAGTGTCCAAATAATTGAGGAGAAATTTAACACTATGACTGAAGACAACCTTTGCTACATAGTTGTTGCACCTAGCTCATTTAAGACTATGATTGAAGACAATGTTGTGTGGCAGCGGATAAAATTACACAAATTAAGATTTTCTTAATTAAGAATTTCCTTTTAATATATAAGAGAAGAGAATAAAAGTGCAATTATAACCCAAAGAAAATAGACTTATTTATATTAAAAAAATCCTACATATCTTTAGTACATTATTTTTTACCCCCTTTTTGTGAATTTATCCCGGTCTTATGAAAAACCCACGCGATTCGGGAAAATTTTTGAAGAAATCTACGCTTGATTCAATGTGGGACATACATTAATCACAATTTAACAGACAACCTTTGCTATATAGTTGTTGCACCAAGCTCATTTAAGACTAATTGAAGACAACCTTTGCCATGCAGCTCGAATATATGTTGGTAATCAGAATCTCATCATATAGAAGGAATCATATTTGTGCGTACATAGAGCCACCAACCAGATTCACCTACACACTAAGAAATCTTTTCTTCTTCACAGCCAGCAAATATTTTCAAAATCTAACCGAATAAATCGACGACTAATTGCATGTAAACAATAAACAGTAGATGGAGTAACAAAGATTCATCTCCTTCATAGGCAGTGATACTATGCAAGAAACAATGATTCAGAAGATAGCCATTGGATATAATAGAAACCATGTTGAAATTACAGTTTTATCTGGCAAATTATAGAATTTAAAGTATCATATGAGAAAACGGAATTTGTTCGATCCCCAAAAACCCAGTTAAATATGTTTCTGTATTGGATCTACTAAACTGCAAGAAATCACGAAACTTATGGGGAAAAATATTGTTATTGTTCGTAATGTATTTCAACTAAAGCAAGTATGATGTTCGGGAAGACAGGTGGTGGATTTAGCTTCTGCTCGGTTCAGTCTTTGCTAATTCAGTTTCGACACGCTGAATTTCACCTCTTATTTCTTTTACATTTTCTACTTTGCTCGACTTCCCATTGCTTATCAAGTAATCTAGATGCTTTAAACATAACAAATACTCGGCCTTCACTTGTGGAGTATCGGATATCAAATACTCAGACCCAAACTGCATAAAGGAAAAAAAATAAATAAATAAATAAAAAATTCAATAGGAATGAAAAATGTCGGTTTTTATTTTTATTCTAAGAGTTAAAATATACCCGACCACACAGTAAGAAAGTCACGGTACAAAACAAAAAGAAACTTAAATCCAATACTTCACAATCAACCAAAAACCGAAAAGTCAAGTATAATATACCTCCTTAAAAGTAGATACACATTGACTAAAAGCAGCCTCGGCCTTAGGAACATGCCCCTGTTCTCAGAGAAGAAACAAAGTGCATATAGTCCAGAATCAAGAAGCGGGTGGAGAAATTGCACGGTAAAAAAGGGAATCAGCATCAAATCAATCACAAACCAATAAATAAATAAAATTCACCCCTAAGAAATAAATTGAAGAAATCCATGTAAATAAACTTTGCCAGAAAATTTTTCTCAAGAAAAACAAAATATCGGAAAAAGATCCCTCTGTAACAATATTCTCACCCGAGGGAGTTTATAAACATGACAAAACCCTTTAATGATCTAGTTTTAAGAAAGTCATGTAAGCATGAATCCAATGAAAAACACGTATAGAATTATAATACACACTTACCCCTGAGCCCATAAGTTCCACAATCATAATCTCCAGAGACCCAAGAGCATTGAGTGATTGAAGCTAAGAGCACATAAGGAAGGACACAACAAATATCGTTCAGCAACTTGTAAGCTATACAATTTTTAAATAAAATATACAATTGGATCGATAATGTTAGAGGTAGTCAAACACATACAGCTGTTATTAAGCATAATCCAACTTTCAGGATACATTCATGTCTATTAAGTAATTAACCAAAAACTCAGGACATTCAATAGGAGGATAAGAAACACAAATAAGCAGCCGGGAACATAAGCTTAAAATGCTTACATTTATGAAAAAATTGCAGCAGCTTCCCTCAATTTAATTGAGTGAACATCAAGAGACCAATAGAGAGAAAACTACCACTAGAGAAGAGAGCAGACCCATAAGGGTTGAAATTGTGAACAGCTTATTAATAAAAGTAAAATAAATTTTGCACCTCAATTTCTCCCAAACCACAAATATACACAGTATTATTCTATTCCTTTTGCCCTTTACCTTTTCCATATTTTAGAGGAAGAACTCTGTAGTACTGTTGTATAAGTATATCATTTGACTAGATTAATAGTCAATGGGTTATTTGGAAAATAATTGTAGTAAATGAAATAATCTAGCCTCTAAGGTCTTGATATAAATTTTAATTGTTTAATTTGATTGTTAAGTTAATTTCAATAAATTGGTAGATTTTGTGATAATGGAATGTAACATTTCTTGTAATTGTTGTGGATTATTCATGTGGTTGTGGATTCAACATATTTTTTTAAAAATATTTTTTTTTATCAGATGATGGAGCTTTTTATTGAGTTATATAGTGTTGTATGACTTGAAATCCTGGGTCATCCCAGACTGCCCCTGACTAGCCCTTTTTGTTAACAAAAGATATTTGAGATTTTTAGTAGAATTAATTTCATTATTCTGCACTTTTTTTTTATCATACAGAAGTCTGACGAATGCTGAAAATCCAGTTTATCATACGTTTTGGCTTACTTAAATTAAAGAATTGACATAGACAAGGGAAAACACAAAACAAAGTGAGAAATCTGAAATTTGTAAATAGATTGGAACTTTCTTTTACGTTAATGACATTGTTATATGCTCATATTTACATCAGATTATCAGACATTTAGAATCGAGGAAAATATGATAAGGATATTCAGTTCTCCTATTCTTATTGATTGACAAAAACCCATCCCAATATTACAATTCTAGCCACAAATCTAAAGCAAACTCATGATGAACCAAGGAGTCCTCAGAATAGAAGCTTCTAGAGTCAAATATTTTATACAAATGTACATTCCGGACACATCCGATATAAATTTACCTTCAAATAATTAGCCATAAAGTACCAATAAACTCTTTATATTATACAGATAAACTGTAGAATAAGGTCAGACAAATGTGGCACTAACCAGTATCAAGATTGTCAATTGCGCTTCTTTTTCTTTTCTTCTGGGTAAGCCACAGGGTTTTTCTTTTACTTTCTGTTCCAAACACTGTCGAGCCACCCTGTGAAGATGACCCATCCAAAAACGAGAATACACAGTTGAAATCAACTCAAAGCCTTATAATTCCATTTGAATCTAAATAAAGAATACAGTAAAGTCCTAAATATATATGATAGGCAGAAATCACCAATGATCGCACAAGCACAACAGAACTTGCAAATAACGAGAAGAGCTTGTTTCATAATCCCTCCCTCATGAAAGGTATTATAAAAATAGTGCAATTCATTTACATGCTAATAACTAAATGCGTAAAACTGAAGATTTGAAGTAACACGTACAAATTTAAATAATCTCAAGTATATGTGGCCCAAGTCTAATTAGACATATATTATCAGAAATAATGGCTTCATGTAAAAGGAAGCAAATGTTGGTTTATCTTGGTTACAGAGAAAAGAACCTATATTTAACTTCTCAAAACCAATTTTCTTCTAATCCCACTGACCTACAGGCTTACGAGAATAAGTTGAGTATTGAGAAATGTTATATCTTTTGAGTTGAATACTTTTCTTTTGACTGGTAAAATATGCTTGCTCCCCTGTGGTTATAGAGTACCCAATACAAATGCATTTATGGATTTCGATCTAATTAACAAAAGGAGAGGATTGATATGAATACCAAATATATTGGGAGTAGCGGAATGGAAGAGGTGACTCTAATATTAGGAATGCATGCCTTGTTTTTATATCAACAAAAACCATGTGAAGAACAAACTATCTTCTATAAATTCCTTCTTCCTTGAACACACTATATAACTCAGAAGGCATATCTTAAGAGCGTAAAATCTAATGAACAATACATTTTTCTTATCTATTCATATCTGTGAATACCATAAACTTTGAGTCTTGTACAGAAGGAGATTAGAAAGGAAATATTCATAAACTGTTGCGAGAGAAAATTGGAAACGGAAATATAAGTGCATTTGTGTGTTGACCCTCTAACGAACCCTATCGCCCCCTTTCATTAGAGCTATCATAATTCATATACGAGAAAAAGGAACTGCATTTTTTTTTTTTTTAACAACAACATAGCCTTTAGTCCCAAGCAAGTCGGGGTAGGCTAAAAAGGAACTGCATATCAAACATTGAAAAAAGACTGACCGAAAAAATGAATGAATTGAAAAGAAACACGCGCGCGCGCGCACACACACACACACACACATATATATAATATCAGACAAATATGAAGAGCAACAGAATGTGCCAAATTTAANAAAGAGAGAAGAGTAACCAAAAGAAAAGCAAAATGATTAGGACAATAATACTATACAAGTTCTATTTAAAAAAAGAAAATCCACTTCTTGTTATAGAACTCTATTGATTCATACCATAATTGTTCTATAGTAATAGGTGTTCCAAAACGAGGGATGAAGAGAGAATGGATACATTGAAATTGGTATGAGCTTTAAATGAGGCATGAATTTTAAAAGATGTAAATATATATCAAAACATACTCCAAAGATAGATGACAAAAGACAGAATATTTATCTAGAGAGATTAGACAAGGACAGGAAGAATAATCTGTAAAACCTGATTATGCTCATCAGGAAGCAAGTTTCTCCGAGCATCAAGACATCTGCCAGAGGAACGCACGTCATTCTCCAGTATAAATCATTAAGCATTCGTCCTTATTTAGTGCTTCATATTAATTATAATACCTCTCTAAAAGTTCTTCTGCTTCCTTTAATCTACTTGCTTTTTCAAGGACCAATGCAAGTCGTTCAGCTACAAGAACAGTATCCAAAGCATTCCACCCCTACGTCATATATCACTTTCACTATTTAAACTATGGAGACTAAAAACACAGAATACTTGTGCATGCAATGATAACTTAAGACAAAGCAACAGATAGTTCCTTTAATAATATCCCCTGATCAAGAGGAGCAAGAATGTGTTGCCAATGTTCATATGCCATTCAACAACAGGAAGTTCCAAATATGCTCTATTTTCTTTCAGCAGCTGATTGAATCAAAATTGATACTTCAGAAGCACCACTATTGCGGAACAAAGAGAAAATGCCATCTAATAGTAAATTGTAATAAACCTCATGCTCATTCTAAAATAGATAACAATTGAATAAATGTACCTTTAATAGTTCCAACATATGAAGAATTTTTCTCAATAAAGCCTCAGCCTCAGCAAATCGATTGGACTTCGTGTACATCTACAATAGAAAGAAAAAATAAATCGATAATTATTTGGGTTCTAAATTCGGAACATCTTGAATGTAAGGAAATACATACAACCAATGGTAATTGAGAAAAATAAATTACAGGATAAAAGATAAATACGATGACTAAAGGACTTCATTATTTCAGTTCAGTTTTATTTTGGTCATGTTATATTCAAAACAAAACTCCCTACCCCATCAGCTTTCCCTGGCAGAACGTCTGTCATTAATGAAATGTTATGCAGCTTATGCTATGAATTTAGGTGACATGGCATAGCAGTCGATGGAAGTCTGAAGTAATGAAAAGAACATATATAGCAAATCTATTCACGATACCTTTTTAGTTCTCCTTTCTTATTGCTACTCATACTATCCATTTCTGAAGGAATAAGGCTTAAGCCATCTGATTTTGAAACGTGCCCATGTGATACTTGAGCTTGTTCGTTATATAAGAATTAAAATTAATGGCATATTATTATTTTAAAAAATATACAGATTGTCTATATATACAATAAAATATAAAATCAATGGGCATACTATTTATCATTTTAATAATTTATTAAATTGTTCATATAAAGAAACATCAAACAAAAGAGCAATTAATATGAGTAAACAAATCTTATTTTAAACGAAAGATGAATATAAGAAATACGGGTTCGTGTGCGAATAAAGTTTATATAAGAAATTCAAAACCACTTTTTAATTTTTATCAAATTATTTACAAATTTTCCTACATCTAATACTATAAATAAATATCTCCCCATATGCATAATATAATACAATATAAGGAAAAAATATCCAAACAATTATTTCAGCTGCAAACATTTGTCTAATCTATTAACATAATTATGAGTATCTAGTAAATAGGAAAAAAGCTTAATCAAAGATCAAATAAAATGTACAACAAATTTCCCAAACAAATAAACTTTAACTGCCCACATTTAAAACAATAGTATTGGCAGGAAAATATGCACATTTATTTTTAGCAATTAACTCCCCATTTACATAGATAAAGATAGCAAACAAAAACACTTGCCCTAATTTTTGAATTCATATAATTACATCCATTCTTCTTTAATAAATAATGCTATATTATATTTTAAGTTCAGTTTAGTTTACTAGTTATACATATATTAAATCAAATCTCTAGGGGCAATTAGATATAAATTATTTACATTTTGTCTCGTCGGATAATTTTTTTATTTAAAGTGGTTGTTTTTTTTTAAGAAATTTACTATTCATTCATGTTTACTGTTCTCTACTCAATCTTATCAACGCAATTAAATTATAAAATTAATCATCACAACACAATATTCAACAAAATTCATTATTCATCTATTCATATATTTAAGTATTAGTCATTTACATTCATTAATTTACTATTTTTATATCAGATCAACTTTTAATTATTATAATTTGACAATCTCATGAGTATTTCATTCTTCCACCAAAATTTTTTTTCAAACTTTTTATTAACCCACTTTTCCAATGAGCCAATTTTTTTCCCAAAATAATTTTTCCAATCCCAAATGCATATTTAGAATTGTAATAGAGGTCTGTGGATATGGACGAGTGGGGGTTACGTTTTAAGTATAGCTTCTACTGAGTTGACCCCTAACATCAAATGTCCATGAAATATGAAACTACCTGAGCGAGATACTGCGTTCTTCGGACACATACTACAGACTCTCCTAGGCCACCAGCCTACATGTTTGCAAAAAGGAAAATGAAAACTGATATAATTCGAGTAATATGAATAACCGCAAGCATTCATTTTGAAAGGGTTTTGATGAACCTCCAATACTCTTATAGAATCTGCAATTAGATCCACGGAATCCTTCTCTTCCCCTTGGAGATACAAAACCTGTAAGTACAAAAACATTATAAATTACTTGTATGGTAAGATTTAGTACAAAAACATTATCAGAAGACAAGAGGGGCAAGAATGCTATATGGCATTGTAAATTACTTGTATTGTATTCTCTATAAGATACAGTTTAGGAAGAGGCTTGAAAGCTATATAACATAGTAAGTTACTTGAACACGGTATTGTGCATGAGAATGGTGATATACAATTCAAACAGGGTGACATCACAGAAAACCATAACAAATTCTAACAAGTCAAAACCCAAAACAGAAATAAAGAGCATGGATGAATTCTGAAGTGAAGTTAAGTCAAGAAACATCAATAAATAATTCTTCGGACTTACACTCCCGAGATGGTACATAGCATCAGCATACTCTGGGTGTGCTTCTCCTAATACACGTCGCTTTATCTAACCAATCAAAAAATAAAAGAACCAGTAGCCTATTTCCCAATCCATACTTAAGAAGATAAATGCATGATATAATGATTGATACACACCTTCACCGCCCGCTGTTAGAGAACATGTCAAAGAAAACATGGATTTGTCAGAAATTGATGAACTAAGCAAATAAAAGAATTCACGTGAAGCATTTAAACCAATATTGATTTAAAATTTGATTACCTACTAGGATAGGATTGACCAACTGATCTAAAGTATTCAGCAATAAATAAAGGAGATACATTTATAGAGCTATGTGCGTTGATGGCATCATGAGATACATTTCAAAGATTGTAATCTTAAATTCTTCCAAATCAAAAAGTGTTGAGATATAGCATATTGTTTCGTAAAACTTGAAAATCTGATGCTCGGCGAGTAGCTTGTTTCATGTAAATTGGTGTAAGGATACAGCTACATAACTACAGAGCTTGCTACGAAAAAGGCATACTTAGCAAATCCAACTAAATATTCCTAAATATAAGGAAACACTTTTAAATGGAGAAGTTTCACATTGACAATACAATATTAATAAAGTTGAGGCACCATGGTAATCCTCTACATAATTGATTGTGTTCTATTCCCTCGTTACATTGATATTTAAGAATTACTTATGCAATTAAATTATGTGTAGGGGCTGAGGGGTGAGTTGAGCCATCACCTATCCAGAATTCCAGATGAATTAAGAGAATCTCCAAAAGCTACCAAAAGTTACAGCTCTAGCCTCTCAATGGTTTTGAGAAATAAATAACTAATCTCCAATTATCCAAATTTAAATGAAACATAAAATCCAGAAAGCATTGTGGGTTGTTTACCCAACCCTCATATAATGATTGAGAAGAGTAACAACTCAATTACACACCTCCATTGTGAAAATCAAGTATTAGACGCGGTAAATTCCAAATACAAATAGTGAGTTATAACTCAATCACAAAGAAACTCATTTTCTTTTGAAATCCAAAATGAGTTATTAGAAATGCCCCAAAACATTTTCTTTGTTTCACAAATAGCCCTTTTGATAGGTGTGATTCTGAAATGTAAATGAATGTCAAAGGTTTTTACAGTTCACAAAATCAGATTTTTTTCACCAATAGCACAAAAATGAATGGTGGTGAAAGCAATTAACCAACTCCGTGATAATATCAGCAAGAAAGCAACTACAGCTCTGAAACATCTAGGGCAGAAGATTATTTACCTCATAGCAAAGACGAGCTTTTTCTAATTTTCTCTGGACAAGGTAGAACTGACCAAGATTATGAAGAGCAGCTCCAACTCTACAATATGAAATAATAACTCATCCAATCTATATGACACCACACTTCAGCAGTTTACACTAAATAAACTCCGTTCAGGAAACTTTAATTTAGGCATATCAATATAATTTAGGGCTGTTTCAAAAAAAAGAAATAGAAGTTGTATGGGATGGATGAAATGGTCTAGATGAAAAATAAAATATGTCTCTTAGCCATAATTGGCGCAACCTATCGTCATCATCATTCCTCCACCAGGGTTAACCATCCCCAAATCAAAGCTGTCTAGGTCACTAACAAAGTATACTAATATAAAGCGTGTTCATCAAGCAAATTGGCAGAAAATGATCTGTTAGTGTTAATCATTTTAAACATATTTTTATTAAAAAAGAATGAGTTTTTCAGTTTTTAGGAGGTTATTCCCGATGAGCATATTCAATGATAAAGAAACTGAAGACATGGATAATCCAATAGCCCAGAGAAGAGATACTAACAGTAATAGATACTGATCAAGAAAAAGAGAGTAGAGTTTCGGTTTGGCAGCACAAGAAGATTTTGAGGAGTGATGTGCTCACTTTAGACATCATTTTCAGGAATTTTATGTGCTTATGTACTTTAGGGAGCTCCTAAGCTTTAGTGCGGGATGTGCTGATGTTCTAAGTTCTCACATTTGTTGATGACGAGTTGGACGAGAAACAAAATCTAGAAAAGAGAGTTTCCATTATTATTTTAATCTTCTTTTTTTAACAACTTCTCATCTAGCATATTTTTGTCTTAAGGGCTTCGCACAAGTATTTTTACACGTTCAATAAGTTAAAATCTTTGTGTCTGGCTTTTTATTGTTCTTGTGTGGATTTCGTTGTACTTATCTTTGTTTGTGTGTTTCATCAAGTCTTCCGCTGTGTGTTTAATTTTTCCTTTTTATTAGATTCAGTTTTATTGCGTATGTCGCTTGAAGTGTCACAACACTTCAAGTCACACTGCACAACTTTCGGAATCATTGACCTTAATTCTTTCATGTTCAATTCCACATATGCAATTTTCTCTCAACATTTTACTTAAATAGTTGCCATTACTTACATAAGAAAATAAACAACTTTGGGCAATTGCCAATAAAAAGAAAAGAAGAAATGGAAATGTTTAACCCAAATAAAAGATATCACCTTACGTCTTCTGTTCCAAAATATTTTTCTAATATATCAATCGCCTCCAAGTACAATGGTTCTGCTTTCTCGAAGTCCTTTTTTACTCTGAAGAGCTCAGCCTGCAATAAATGTCACAGTTTCACAAACTTCTTGATATCATACAGTAGAGAAGGTTGACAAAGTTTCAAAGGGATGACAGTCTCCATTAAAATACCTTAGGGATAGCGGTAATTGTAGTAGCAAATAGCAAAACTGATCTATTAATAGCATAAAAAATACACAGACATCTCTCTATCCACCAAACACAAATTAACATTGAACAAAAATTAAATAAATAAATACCAAGCTATGTCTAATCGCCTCAAACAAACAACCCAACAAATTAGGAAAGCATTAGCCAAAAGAAAACTTATATAATTAATAGAAGTGCAACTTCCATCAAGAGACAACCATATTAGATCATATAATTATAATAATGAGTGTCAAAGGAAAATCCACCAGGTTATTGCAAGCGGAGGCAACATGAGGATCCGTATCTCCAAAACCCTCTCTAGCTTCTTGTAATGCAGATTGAAAGAATTTCTCAGCTTGCTCGATATTCCCCTACATACAAAAAGATCAACAAAAGAAAGTTCTAGATATAATGTCTAGCAACCATACGAGAACGGAATCAAAAGCACTTGCCTTAAAAAAGTAATCCCTTCCGTTATCAGTGAAAATTCTCCATTTAGATGTATGCTCATTTGAGATCACTGACCCATCCTCAATCTTTTGAAAGCTACTATTATATGTGCTCTTGGAATTTGATTCATTTGAAACATCTTCAGCTAAGGAAGGTGTCAAGCATGTCCCCAAAATGATGGCTGCAGCACATAAAATTTATAAAAGTGAATGCCTCAAAATCCTAGTTTCACCGCATAAAAAATTACACAAGTGAAACTATCAAGGTCTGAGCAGTGACGGAGAAGCCTGATTGAAGACAGGTATGCAAAAATATTAAACAAGATTCTGCATTTTACATATACGTTATGTAAAAATGACTTCCATAGTGTTATATGATATATTTTCTGTTTCTAGATAAAAATCATGGACAATTGTATCGGGCGAAAACAAGCTAACTCAGTCTACTGAAAAAAATAAGAAACTATAAATTTTCTGAGGAAGTACTGTATGCTCATGCAATAGCCAACATAATCACAGTAACAATGTCTAGAATGGCCAAGCACAATAAAAATCCATGCTTTCACTAATTTTATGTATTCTTAACAATTTCCTTTGACTTTCAGCACTCCTACTTTCATTCTACCCCAAGATTACATTTTCTCGCATCCTATACCCTGATTTTCATTCAACATTGAACATTGACTCAAAAAAAAACATTTTTGCCCCCTACAAACATCTTCATCTATCAGATGCATCATTTTTTCAAAACTCTCCTGCAGATTACAATCTCAAGGTCCTTAATCTTCCACCTTCACCCTCTTACTCGGTGTTCTGCAGCAATAAAACCAAAAGGATGAAACCTGATGAATACATACCAGCTGGTCCAGTGAGAGAAACCCAATGAAATACTTCCTGGCTGCGCTTGCTCCATCCATGGCCTCCAAAATTGTGATCGCTGGAGGTTCTCAACCTTCCTGGATATAATATTATAGGCCCATCAGTTCCCTTAGACAAACATTAACAAAACAAGTAAAAGGAAAATATGTACTGTAAAATTTTATTAGTTGAAAATGAAATGATTATGGAAGATACCACCCCCATTAGATTTTCACTTGCATTGTATCAATACAAAAGACCATCTTCAATGTTCATGACAGGAAAACATCATCAGAAAAGAACCCTAACATCATCAGACTAACACAATTCATGAGAACCAGTACTTCAAATGGATCAAATTACCCAAGTAATATTTTAAATTCACAATATCAACATCATATTCACCACATTGTTGTGCATTCACTTTCACGATTTAAGTCATCATCCTGCAATCCGTATCCCGTCCATTTCCACTCCCACCGATTATCAATCACCAAATCTCTTCACCTGCAGCCTCCTACACAGCCCAGTAGTTCTTTTCCTTTTATTTATCACTTTTTTCAACTAACTTTAATATGGGAGCCGAGTGTTTAATCTCTTCAAAACAGATTGTCATACAATACTAAATGAGGTGGAACACATACCAGCATTTGGCAGAGAACCACAGGTTTTGGTCCGCAACTGAGCATAATTTCGGAGTTCCTTACACAATTTAGAAGCTGAGGACCGCAAAGACATCTCTTTTGTGAATTGTCTCAAGTTTTAAAATCATTAAACTGAGCATAATCTTGAAGGAATTTTCAGAGGCAGATCCCTAAACCCCTACACACAAGCTCGTGCGGTTCAAGCTCGTCTGCGGTTTGTTTTTTAACATACAATTATTTTCCAATTTAAGTAATTTTTATAATTTTTATAACCGATAAATTAGATAGGCGTGGAGTGGAGTAGAAATTTGAGCTAGATTTTAAGTTTATATTTAAATAATATTTAAAATTTAATTATTAGAGTTTATTTAATATAAAAGTAAGACAAAGGTAAATAGAATGGATAAGTAGTTAAAAATATATGAGTACATAAATGATAATTTAAAATTGATGTAATGTGTGAAGATAATTGATTAATAATTTAATATAGTAAATTTTGAGTTAAAAGATTTAGAAAAGTTATTCGTTCAATTCTAATATATGTAATCAATCATGCCCATAATCTTTAATACGAAGAATCTGGTATTTATTTAAAATTTCAAGGGATATTTTAAATTATTTTAATTCCAAAAGTTGAAGATTTTAATTTTTTCCTATAAGATCTTATATATGTATTTTAATTTTTTACATATCATTACCTTTTTAAAAGTTAAACACATTTTAGTGTTGTATAAACTAAATAGCATGACACTTTAATATTTTTTAAATTTTCAAACGAGTTCTCGTTAGAAAGCAAAGTTTTGATAATCGAATTGGTGAAATAATTGGTTCAATTGTTTATTAGTCAGACCAATGGTTGAATATGTGGCTGAACCTGGTTGGACCGACATTGAATTTATCAATACTTTTAAATATATATATATATATTTATATTAAATTTTATATACAAAAACATCTTTTATTAATTTTTTTTATAATTTGAAACAATCAAATGCCTTAGATAATTACATAATAATTTATACATGTTTAAAATATTTATGCAATGTATGACAACGCATTTTATTTATATTAAATACAAAAGTATCTTTTATTTAAATATGCATTTTATTTATAATACTTAATCAATTAGCACTGTCATACATTACATGTTTTTTAATCTCAAACGAATACAACCCCCAATATATCGGAATGTAATTTGACTTTGTCAAATTTTTTTCGGAAACCAATTAAAGAGGTAAAGACACATAATATTTCAAAAGTTTTTTATTACCCAAATACATAGGCATATGCACATCAAATTTAATCATAATTTTTCAAGTTTCGGATATAGTTCACAAACATGAAGAAACAACCGAATAAGGACACCATAATCCATTCACCTTTGACATAACATCAAAACCAAACCTTTGAGATATCACTAACATATAAAGACATTATTAGTGCCCTAGCATGAAAAGCAACGGTTAAAACACAATAACAAATAGATAGTAAACAAGCAGCAACAACAGTAACAATGGAGATCCGACAAAACAGTGCTAATTGAAAACTATCAATATTACCATTATTTGGCTAATGTAAATAAATAGACTGAATCTCTCAGTGACTTCAATGCTAGATGATTTGTCAAAATGAAGTCTTGATTTACCGAAACAGGACATTTTATTGATCATCAAAAAATTCTCCAATAATAGACCGGCACCAATTCTAGTTCCAAACCCACGTTGTAATGTGGAAGTAATTAAGTAAACCCCAAAAGCCCAACATAAGGATCATTGGAGAAAGACTCAATTCATGCAAAAATTTAATTACCAAACATGACTCTTTTGCAAAAATTCAAAAGAACGTACCACATTTAAATTCTAAATTAGAAACAAAACACATTATCCGATCACGATAATTTTTTCCTACTTGTACTCGAACTTCCTCGATCACCTCTGATCAGCCTTAATCCGGAAGAGGAACTCCTCTTCTTCTTCCTTCTTCTCCTTTGCCATCTCACTCCTTCCTCTAATTTCTCGAGCTTCCACATTCTTACAGCAACAAACCCCGCTTGTCGATGCGTGGGCCCCACTCGCCACCCGAACCTTCCGCATCTCGTCCTCTTCTTTCTCATCGGCTTTCGTTTTCTCCTCGGCCTTCGCATGAACTGCAAAGAGATTTTCCATCTCCTCGTGGTAAACCTCCACGTGCTGTCTCGGGACTCGATCGAGCATGTGGGCCCCCCAACGCCCGAGTAAATCGGCTATTCTTCTTTCATCCATGATTTATGATGAGTATGGGGATTTTAGATTTTTCTTTTTTTTTTAAATTTGAATGTGTTGCCTTGTGCATGTGTGTAGTACGTATGTATGTATATATATAAAGACTTTGTTGAGGGAAGAAAACAAGTCCTAGTATGTATAGGTTAAGGAATGTTGGGGGATTTAGGAATTATAACTTTCCAAAACAAGAGAATTAATTAATTGTTGGTGATGGGTAAACAATATAAGTTGGATTGAAAATATGGTTATAATTTTGGTAGTTATATGTTTATCATACTTAAATTGCAAAAAAGGGCTTAAGTGGCTACGGATTTTGCTTCGCTCGTGGAGGGCCCTAGCCTATTACAGTTAAGCTTCCAAACTATGGTTATAATATTTTGGGTTTCAAACAAATGACGTCATATTCTGGGTTAAAGCATAACATTTTGTCACCTAAAAGTTGGGCGGGCTAGTATGTTTCATATTGCAACTTTGAAAAGATTAAATATAATATATTTGTAACCAGTACAACCCGTGTACTACACGGGTACTTAAATATATTAATAATTGTATAACAAAAATTAAGATTATATTTTTATTGTAAAATTACGTATGATGAATATGCAACAATAATAAATAATAAACAAAATGATAGTTAACTCAAATGGTACCCGTATTTTTACACTAAATTTGTCAAAAAATATATTTTTTAATTATATTTTTAAAATTATATATGTATAAAATTGATATAATTTACAACTTCATAATTTTGATCCTTTTTTCTAAAATGAAATAAATTTGAATATATTGTGATTATATTCATATTTATATAGTCAGTGTCTCACCTTTATTAATGTTTCAAGTATTTTAGATTCATATAATTAATAATTTAAAATTTACGTAGAAATGTCGTATTTTCTAACTTTATGAAATATAAAATTATTTTATTATATTTAATTGTGATATTGTTTTATATTTACTATTTTAAATAACATAATAACATTCAATTTTTGTATAATCTATTTAAATTGAGAAATAAGATTTTATAATATTTCTTAAAATAAATTTTATGTAATTTTATCCAAAATTGATGAAAAAAATAATAAAATAATTATTTTATGTTGTATTATTGAATTAGATTTTTATTAATTTTATAAAATAATTTATATTGGTATAAGATGTTTTATAAATTGAGTTGATAATAAAATTGATTTTATTTATACATATAAATGAAGTTATTTTTTTATATATATATGCAATATGAATGTCAAATCGAAGATCATTAAAATATGATTATTTTGGTAGATCATACATAAAAAATAAAATTCAAATAAAAATTTTTATAAAATTCTAAAAATAAAAGGAAACATATTTGTAATAATTAATATATGACTTAAATAAAAAAGGTAAGAGCGGTATATGGTAACTTAAGAAAAAAGGAAATCTAAAATAATTTATGATAATTCTCAAGCCTAATAGTCAAAACCAAATCTGAACATGTGTCAATACGAAGTACCAATTTATAACAAATAAGCTTACGAAACACACGAGTCTGTCACTTAAGTTCTGCGTATTCATGAATTATACATAAGGGCGAAGGGCGATTTTAGCAAAAAGTCATGATCTTGAATGCAATTAGGCTTAAATTTAATGCTCGAAAATATGAACTTGGAAGATTATATTATACACTCGGCTGTATAATGGGAAATTCGGGCCACTTGAGCCAACTCGTGTGGGTTATCAAAGTATACACATAGTTATGGGTAGAATATGTTCCATTCCATTATTGTCATCTTAAATTTCATGTTCAAGAACCAAAAAGATACGTAATTCGATTCGTGACAAATTTATAATCAAGATTCCTTGACTCTATATTTGGCATAGCCTTGCCTCCTCCAATCAAGGAAATAGAAATTATTTTTCAACTATTCACCTCTTATTATAAGAGCATCTCCAATGCAACTTTTGACATTATACAAAGTCATCCATATCACCAACTTTTGAAAGTGTGTCTCTATTTTTTTCTCCAATGCATCTTGTCATGAACTCTTTCACGATGAGGTGGATGTCATTTAATGTTGACAATGTTGAGCATACTTTCTAATATCTAACACCATGTTAAACATGATGACTCATCAATTTACTTTATATTTATTTTTATTTTTTATTTTTTTTGTATCAATGAATTATTTAATTGGTCCACCTATACAAATAACTTCTTATCAAATTGATGCATTGGAGATACTAGTTCCATTGAAATTTCTAGTCTTTTAACATTATTCCAATGTGGATTAACATTACAATTACTAATTGACATGTGTTAAAAATAATGGTCTTTCACACTTATAACATTGGAGATGCTCTAAGATGATAATAGTTTTATTTTATATATATTCTCTTCTGTCCGGTTACAAAATTCGTATCAATAACGAGTGAACATTATATTATGTATTTGCATGAAAGTTTTGTTGGTAATATTGTTATATACTGTAGTGTAAACTAATATTTTTATCTACCCTAAAACGATATATATATATATATATATTTTTTTTTTTCAAATTGTTTTTCTTCGGATGCAGGCGTTGAATCCATAAATTCGTAAATCTTTTGTTTCAAAATATTCCGTATTAAGTCTTTTTTAATTTAACGTTGGTCTTTTAATCCCGTTCAAAACTTCAAGTTTCAATTAATCACAGTAGGCATAATTTACAAATTAAATTACCAAAAATATATGTAATAATTGTATGTTACTATCCTTATTGCAATCTATACTTATATTAAAAGGCATACCATTTACCAGATTTAGTATAAAGAAAAGTCAACAACATTTATTGCATTACTATTTCCGTATTATACAATCTATACTTATATAAAAGGAGATTCTATTTACTACATTTACCATCCAGAAAAGTCAACTGCATTAAATGTCATTACTATTTTGGTATTATAATATTTTATTTATTTAATTTATTTATTTATTTGTTTTATTTTAAAAAGGTAAGTATAATAAAAAGATTTTAATAATAAAAAAATCAAATACCAAATAAAAATGTACACTTTGACTTATTTGATTATATTTGGTATTTGATTATACCAAATGTATTCCTATTTAGTATATACATTAAATACTTACTAAAGTATTTATTTGTTTTATTTGTCAAATTAAGTATAGATTTGTTTATATTATCAAATCATAAAAAAATATTAAATCCATATTGTAAGAAAAAAAATCATATAATCTTATAACAATTCTACTACACTATTTAACAATATTTATTTTTTATTATATAATAAAATAATAATTAAATATTATATGGTGAACAACAATAAGTAAACTGTTACTTTCTCTTATATCAAGGGATAAATTTATATGCTAAAATTAAATTTTTATTAGTATAAATGTTTTAGTGAGATAATATATTAATTATTTTACAAGCTAGCCCTAACATGCTCATATTTAATGTTTTAAAAGATGTAGAAAAAAAACTTATAATAACTCTATTGTTTTTTAGACTTAAACGTTGATTAAAAGAGGTAAAAATTCCTAATTTTTTAGACTTAAACGTTGATTAACACCATAGATTGAGAGTTTATATTTAGTAAAATTCCTAATTGTAATAAAAAAATTAATTTTTGCTATATTTTAGAATATCTTTAAATTCATTATAAAAAAAAAAGAAAAAAAAACTACAATGAAAAAAGAAAGTCAGCTATATATCGATTTGTTGTACTCCTCAAATCACATTTACAATTTGGCTACAAGGAAAGGAAACTCATTGATTAAAATATTATTTTGTCAGTAGTCTTAATGTACAAGAGACTTTAAGACCCACTTGAATATTATAAAACTTTTATTGAACATTGTACAATTTTCTTGCGTATTATAAACTTTTATTGAATATTGCATCTTATAATATAATATTCTCCAAATAAATATATCTCGTGCTTCGCACGGGTCACGTATTATATATATCCCGTACATTTTTCTTTATTCGTGTATATAATTATAAGCCTGGATAAATAGACTTAAAATTGTGCACTCCGTGCATCGCACGGGCTCTGTATTAGTATATAATTAGTGGGTGAATAGTATTTATTTTAAAATACTTTATATTAATTACCTTGTATTTTTTTTTAGTTATGTTATATATTGTGACATCTATACTTATATTAAAAGGTATCCCATTTACCAGATTTGGTATAAAGAAAACTCAAAAGTAATTAATGTTTGCTGGAAATAGAATGACATTAATTACAGATTTATTTTGGTATTTATAGCTTGACATTAAAGATTTGTTATGGAATAAAATCAAAACCGATTTTTTTACCTTTGCTGGAAAAGTCCAATATAAGTATAGATTTTCTTTTATTCCATAACATCGGTTTAGTTAAAATAATCTCATAAAATCGATTTTAATGTCAAGCCTATAAAAAAAGATTTAACCGGTTTTAATAAAGCAGATTTAATCGGTTTTAATAATTGCATAGAATTTCAAAGTTGTTATTTATTGTAAAAAAATTAAATTCTAAAAAAACATTTGTGTATATTTTGTAAAATATTTGTACAAAATGTTTTACTTTAAATTTATTTACATAATTTAAATTAATTACATTAATAAATAATATGAACATACATTAAATATTTTAATTACATAAAACAAAAAGAAGAAGATTACATCTATAACTTATAATAATAATGACATTATACTACAATAAATTTTATAAGGAAATAATATAAGTATTATACGAGGAACAAGATTACGTAAAATTGTTATTTTTTTATATCAATGAATAAATATATATAATGAAATCAAATTTGTATTATTATAAACATGTGAACGAGATAATATATTAATTAATTTACAGGCTAGCGCTACCAGACTCAAGTTTAATGTTCCGATAAAAAAAATAACGTTGATGAAAAGATGTAAAAAGATAGATGATCAAACTCTATTATTTTTTAGGCCTGAACGGACAAGCCCTATGGTCCACTCATTTAATATCTCCTGTGAATGGCACGTGCTACTTAACGGACAAGTTCTGTGTAAATAACTCATTAATACTTATGTCCCGTGCATCGCACGGGCTACGTGCTAGTTGTAGAAAAAGAGTGAGATGAGATGAATGGCAGTTTTTTAAAAGAAAAAAAAAAGTTTTATTATTGTTCCAATTTATGAGATAAATCTTAATTGAGAACAAAACTGGAAGAAATCTTATAACAAATCTCATTTTCCAATTTCATATTAGTGTAGCACAATATGGTGCAATATTGCCAAATGAATGATTTAATGCCTCTCCGTTCTTGGAATCAAAATAGCATAAGAATTCAATTTACGCAACTCAAATCATGCAAAAATGTAATTTACTTAAGAGAATTAAAGAATCACAAATCGAATATCTATACATATATAATAAAAATTAACATTTTTTAAAAATAGTAAGTTAAATCTTAGTCAAACTCTCTAGCATTAATTACATGCCATTCATGGCAATTCTTTTTTAACTTAAATACGGGCAACATTAAATATTGACCTTAAAATGTGGAAATTGTTTCGGCATCATTCCATAAATTTCGATAAGTTTAAAAACTCAATATCATCCCATTGCATGCTATCATAAACCTACAGAATCCCATATATAAATCTGGAAATTGTTTCGACAAGCTTAAAAAAATATCATTCCTGTAAGTTTAAAAAGTCAATATCATCCCATCGCATGCCATTATAAACTTACAGAATCCATCGGAGTGAATTTGAAAAATCTGATCACTTATCTATTGTAACTGATTTCTTAAAATAATAACTAATAATTAAAAAAAAAAAACTAATTCACTCTAATGTCTAATTACTAATATAAATCCATTTTGTATGTTTAATTAGTAATATAAATTCCTGATTTGTGGTAAGATTTTTTTTTAAAAGAAGCTAGAAGCTAATTTTCACTATCTAATTCCTAATGTTTTTTCAAATATTGTTTTTTTTTTTTAAACCGGCAAATAACTTAAATAAAAACTCAAAGAAGGTTCTTACTATCAAGCAATCAACTGACCACAAATTGACATAGCCTGAAAACAGATCAAGGCCAATCTATGGGAATGCCCAAACGACACCCCTAATCCGAAAATAAACTAGGAAAATAGAACTAGAAAATGATGAACATACCAATACTAATACAGAACCAAACAAGATAAAAAACAACATCTAAAACAAGTCAGGAGCATAATGAAAGGAGCAGATTAAATGACATTTTGCTAGCTCCTTTATCTTCATCACCAGTTCAGCAAGGTGTGGGTCAGGCTCCAAGTCTTGAGACAACAACCGAACTACTTTGTGATCAAGAACATAGCACAGAAAGTTTTTTCAAATATTATTACCACTTTGAATTTTATGTTCTCCTGAACAAGCTAATTTTTTATGGCGTATAATATACTGATATAGGGCAAATCATATCACATGTTAACCTCACATTTTTAATTTATAATTATTATTCAATATTGTTTACCCTCATATTTAATTTATAATATTTTTTTCTTGCTCTTCTAAAAGAGGATCAATAATGGATCCCCACTTCTTTCGTTGGGTGATTCAAACTCGACACTTATTTATAATCAATATTTAATATTGTTACCCGTGCATAGCACGGGCTATACACTAGTATTATTATTAAAGTCAAAGATTCAGATCTTATAAATGCGTGATTCGCCAATTAGTAAACGGCAAACAAATTAAAATACAAGATTATAAAGTGGCTAATTTTCAAGGTTATAAAAGACGATACAGGTTGGAGCTAGCGGCTAGGAAACATAGGCGGTGATTAAACGGGACCTAGGTGGAATCACAAAAATATTAATATATATATATATATTTTTTTAATCTTTTTCATCTTGTATAGTTTACAAAACACATTTTATAAAATACTTTAATTAATACGATTAAAAAACGAATGTATTCCAAAATATTATATATTCATAACTTATTATAACTTTCTACACGAATATTAATATAATTTTATAATTATTATATATTTCATAATCTTGAAAAAACCGAACAGATGAATACTGCTGGCAATCAAACTCAAAAAATAACAGAAAGTGAGTCTTTACTTTGGAAAGAGCCAAACCGAATATTGTCACATGGCAATGCTGTTATTTGGTGCCATAAAAAATGGACCAATCAATCTGAACCCATTTACATACATAAAGATAGCAAGTGAGCAGAGGATTATTATAATTAGTTGAGTTGTACAATTAGTTAGGCAAGGCCTAAACCGTATGTTTATATTCTTATCATAAAAAATCAAATCATACGTACAAAATTTCATCATCATTTGTGTGTTAGTTATATGTAGTTATGTCGCTTTGTTTGGGATGTTGACAAAGAACAAAACGAACCAGTTTTTTTACAGTTGATCAAAACCACCCAGACAAGAAGAAGAAGAAGAAAAAAAAAAAAAATACAAGAAAACTGTTAACAAGAAATTGTGTGTGACACAAATCAAAAATGAACAATCAAATCAAATCAATTCAAACAAATAAAATTCACCTAATTCCCCGCGGGCCCCACCTCCTCCTCCATATCCACAATCTCATGACCACCGTCCTCCCGTGGGCCCGCGCGGCGGCAGACATCCTCCACCCTGGCCACAACCTCCACCATGTCCGGCCTCAAGTCAGGATAATTTGCTGTACAGTCAACCGCCAGCTGGAGTAGCTGCACCATATCCTCCTCCACACTCTGATAACGAAGCAGCTCCATGTCAAAAACCTCAGCCGTCCACTCCTCACGCACCACCGACTGCACCCACCGCGGCAGATCCAGCCCTTCCTCAGCCTTACCCGTCAGCAGCTCCAACAGCAGCACACCGAAGCTGTACACGTCAGCACGCTGGCCCACTTTGCGCGGGTCCGTCACCTCTGGGGCCCGGTAGCCCGCCACCCGGTTGGGGAGTGCTGCTGGGCCCGAGAGCTGGGCCAGCCCGAAGTCGGAGACACGGGCCTCGTAGGATTTTGTGAGGAGAACGTTGGAGGACTTGATGTTGCCGTGGGAGATTGTGGGCCCGCGCGAGTGGATGTGGGCCACGCCACGGGCGGCCCCAAGGGCGATGGTTGCTCGGGTTTCCCAATTTAGTGGGGTCCTGCTGGCGCCCTTGTTTCCTGCAAGATATTTTGGAAACCAATTGTTTTTAGTTACTTCCTCCAGCAAACACATTATGGTAAATGTCAAGGAACAAATGGTATGGAGATGAAACAGACAAGTCTTGGATGGATATTAGACCGTTGGGACTTTACCAAAGAGAGTAATAATACTTACATTGCTATGTCCCATTTCACATGTGCATTTCAAATTAATAATTCTTGGGAAGAATTCAAAATTAGATCTGCAAATAGCAGTTTGAAAGAAACAAGGTCATCAATAACCTCACATTTCCCCATAGGCCCATAACCGGAAAAAAATAAATAATAAATCACATGATCAAGCTGATCAATAACAGGGCATTTTCAATTGTCGGATTGAGACCTATTAAGTTCACAAGAAATGTATCTTCAGGAATCAAAATAATTCAAGTAGATGACTAAATTGTTCAATCAGATCAATGACAATGAGAAATCAGTGTAATTCAAGAAACTGATGAGATTTTGTATACCGTGTAACAAAGCAGATAAGCTCCCCATTGGCAAGTAATCGTACACGAGCAGCTTCTCATCCCAAGTATAGTGATAAGCTCTCAAAGGCACCAAATTCTCGTGATCAATCCTCCCAATTTCCTCCATTTTCTCCTTAAACTCCTTCTCTCCCATGTTGACATCCCTCAGCCTCTTCACCACCACCGCCAGCCCGTTTTCCATCACTGCCTTATACGCAGTCCCAAATGTGCCCTTCCCTAGAACCTCCGCCGAAGCCTTCAAAAGATCATCGAGATCAAAATTCCACCCCATTTTTCCTAAGAAAATCAACCCTTTTGTGTTCCCACCACTAATCAAACTGCTTTCTCCTTTTTCTTTCTCCTTCGCTGCTAAAACGGCACTAGGCCTGTCGTCCTTTACTCCACCACCACTATCCGGCACCGGATTTTCGAGTTCCTTCTCCTTGGCCACAACCCCATCATTGGATCTTGATCCTTTTCTAGCCAGCACCCTACACAAGCAGAAAATGAGCAAAAGGATTAAAAGAAACCCTAATGCTGAGCCAATTATGATTCCGGCAAGTGCTCCGCCTGAGAGTTTCTTCTTTGGCCTACAAGAAGCAAGCGGCTGGCCGCAGAGCGCATTCCCGGCGAATGAGCTGCGGGGTTTATCTGAAAGCCCTCTCGGAATTTCGCCGGTGAGGTTGTTGTTGGACACATCGAACTGAACGAGGCCCGGCAAATTCAGATCGGGAATGCGGCCAGATAAATGATTGCCTTGCAGGTAGAGCGTGCCCAGGCGGGTCAGATTCTGGAAGGAAGGGGAAATCGGGCCGGAGAAATTGTTCTCGGCCAGATTAACCCGCACGAGGGATGTGAGAGAGAAAAGCGAGGCCGGGATTTCGCCGCTGAAGAAATTGTGCTGCAGGTAGAGGTTGCGGAGGGAGGCGAGGGAGAAGAGGTCCGGCGGGAGGGGGCCGGATAAGGCGTTGTATCGGAGGCTGAGTGTGTTCAATTTGGTGATGTTGGAGACGGTGTTGGGCGGCAGCTGGCCGGAGAGGCCCATCCCGGGGAGGTGGAGCTCGACGACGGAGGAGTTGTCCGGCGAGCAGATGACGCCCGGCCACACGCAGGTGGGGCTCGAGAGGTTCCAGAGGAGGACGCGGCCGCCCACGGCGGATCGGAGGCCCAGGAGAGCGGCGCGGTCGGAGGCGAGGTCGGAGGCGGCGGGGGGAAAGAGGAGGAGGAGGGTGGCGGCGGCCACGAACAGGTGGAGGAGAAGGAGGCGGCGGTGGGTGCTCATGGATTTCGACACTTTTTTCCTTCAAAAAAATAATCGTTAGTTGGAAATGCTGTGAGTGTTTCGTGGGTATTTGTGAGGTTCTTCAGAGGAAGTCAAAAAGAAGCTTTTTTTCGGATTTTTTTGATTTTCTTGTTGTTGTCATTGTGCGTTTTCTAGAGAGAGAAAGACAGTCTGTGAACTGTAAATGTGACCTGTTTAGAAAAAGAGGGAGGGGAAGCAGAAGAAGAAGTTTTGGGATTGGGCGTTCCTATTAAATTAATTAGAAAACCCATGTTGCACATTCTGGGCCCACTAATTTAATATTTTTACCATAATCTTTTTGTTTGTGCAATTTAATTAGGGGTAATGACGGTTTTAAAAATAAATTATAAAAATATAAAACTATATAATAAATTATCTGTTTTCCAATTTTTCCAATAGTAAATAGACCCAAGGTTAGATAATTTTAATATTTTCAATATATATGTATATTTTTAAATTGAAATGTCTAAATATAAAAAATTGCACATGCAAAATTGTGGCATTTTGTAGCATAACTATATAAATTTCGTAAAAATTATAATGAGAACTAACTATTAGACTCACACAACAATTTAGATTTTTTCAAACTATCAAACCAACTTAAATCCTTGTATGGGTATGTTGGAAAATGACATTTATGGTTGATATTAATGTAAAGTCCAAATGTGAAAGCATGTGACTTCGGCTCATATTTAGAGCATCCAATGTGAGATGTTGACTTAATAAAATGTTAGCCACATCATCAAGTTATAAAGTGATTACAAAAATTACTTTCCAATCCATAATGTTATGGACTCTTTTATGCTGACATGGAGAAAATAAATATCCAAAGTGTGAAGCCCACTTTCTAGTTTTCCAAAGTGTGTTTGAAAGCCAACTCATAAAAAATCTAACTTATTTTAAACTTTTGAAATGGATGCATTGGAGATGTGTATTCCAAATTAAAGTCTTCTCTTTTGACATTCATATTACATGGATTTACATTTCATTCATCATTTGACATGTGTTTAAATTTAATTAATGTTAAAAGTGGAGCATTGGAGATGCTCTTACAATTATGGTGTATTGCAACATTTCACAGATGTGCCATTGAACTTGTATTTATTTTGTATGTTAATTACCAAAATCATTTTGTGCAGGGTAAGGGACTCAGGCGTAGTCATAATTTTTTTTCACCCAATACTGCAAGATGTACTGATGTTATATGAATCGAATTATCCCGTTACATAGTTCGGTTTGACATGTGAAACCTCAATCTCGACTAGCTTGTATATTTGCAAGAGTCAAGGTCAAATAACTAATTGGTTTATCTGACAAACAAGTTCGAGTCGAGCGTGCTCGCGATCAACGCAATTAGAGTTTGAGGTTGAACCGATTTTATCGAGCTCACATTTTTTTTTATTAAACGAGCTGAGCTACATCAACTCGTTTATTAAATGAGCACGAGTTCGAACATAAAACACTCAACTCAAATAATCTACCTATACGCATGTATAAAGAAGTCAAATTATGAATTATTTTCTTAGTAATATAAATTACATGAAAAAGTCTATAATATTAAACTGTGAATGTTGCATTTGCAAAATAAAAATATCAATTATTATACTTTTTAGTCATGTTATGGTACTAAAAATCTCTGAACAAATATTATTGAATTATTAACTACTCTTATACATATAACAAACGTTCAACGTTAATGATTTATTATTTTTTTAGAAAAATTGCAAAGATATTTTTTCTTATGTACATGAATTTTGAATTAAAAAAACAACATAATTTAATAAAAAGTCAGCTATGATGTGGTGTAATAGTCTCATCATTCTTGTTATATGACAAGTCAATATTTAAGGTCCATATGTCATTTCATTGAATATGTCGCTCAAATAAATGAGATCAATAGTAAATTTCACATACTCAAATGTCATTATAAAAAATTCACTTAATATATAAACAAGATTATAAAATCAAAAAATCCATTTTCATATTAAGTGTATAATGGAAATAAAACACTAGAAAATATTGACTCGAATAAAATTATTCAAATGAATTCTATTTAACCAAAAGTGAAATGTAAATATAAAATAAGATGAAAAAAATAATAATAAGCTAAAACGAAAAGTGGCAAGAGAATCAAATCATGTTTAAGTGTATAATTGTTTGATTTAATCTAAAATAATATCTTCTTTTGGGTCAAAATAAAACTAATACGAGGCGATGGCCAAGGCAGTACGCGTTTAGCGCGCGCGCCGGCGTCGCTCGAAGGAGCACTGTGACATGACTACGGACAGACCTGGCAACACAAGAAGCCACTCGGCGATGACCCGATGGCGTGCAATTTTTCCCGATGATGACTTATTTGGCGAACACAACGATCCGATTCGAGTAGCTTATTCAAGAAGAGAAGTGGGAGTCACGACGAAAAAGGAACTTCATGTCCGAAGGGAAAGACGCAGTTCTAAAAGGACAAAAATTGCAAATTTCCAAGATGGATTGGTAAATAATTAAATGGCTATATTGTTACAGTTCATAAGGATAAATCTCTTCTAGATGGGAAAGCTATTTAAAAAGCGTACAAGCCGTCCACCAGCGGACGTATAATTTCATGTTATTATTCAATTATATGTTTTAATAGGTTTTAAAACATATATATATTTGGACCACAAATGACATTATTAATCTTAACGTTATATATGGATTGCGCTGAATCCAATATACAATCACGCTAAGTATTTAGTCATTAGGAATCGTTATGACATATTGGTCCATGCCTAAATAGTTCAATGATTGTTCAATCTTAAGTTATATGTAGAAGAAGAGTTTAAAATAAGAATTGATAATTGAAGAAACAAGGTACAAAAATAAAAATTATGTATAAAAAAATATTTCATATAATTAATTGTTCAATTTATATTTTTTATATGTATACTTTATTTTATAGATTTATCAGTTTGGGGTGTAAAAGATGGATTAATTATCAATTTTGATCCTCAAAGATAAAATCTATATATTCGGGACTCAAAAGCTAGTGAAATATCAATTTTAACCCTGGAAGATTAAATCTAGCACACTACGAAGTGTTAAAACAAATAAATGAAAATATCTTTATTAAATTAAAAAATAAAAAATGGATGAAAAAGATCTGTAAATTTTTTTATATCACATCAATAAGTCAAATGTAAAAGTCTATAAATAAAAAATAAAAAACAAGATGAAAAAAACAACGTAAATTTCTTCTCCGGCCACGTAAAAAACGAGATTACAACAAAAATTTAATGATGTTTTTCAATATATTTTTTAATTTTTAAATTTTAATTTTTTATTTATTTTGAGATGCTTTTATTAACTTTTTGATGATCACATATTAAGAAGCATACGATGATGGTCATCTTTAGAGTTTTAAATTTATAATTTCTTATTTGGAATTCATAAATTCTCGAATTGAAAGTTTATTCGTCGTTTTAATAGTAATTAAATTTAGTGTCCTCTATACTGATAGAAACTAAAAATTTAAATTGATAACTTTAAAATTTTCAACATTTAAATGGATAAAACTTGTCTGAATAAGATGTAAAAGTCTATAAATCAAAAATATTATAATATGAATAAAAAATAAAAAACAAGATGAAAAAAACAACGTAAATTTCTTCTCCGGCCACGTAATAAAAGAAAAACGAGAGTATAGCAAAAATTTAATGATGTTTTTCAATATATTTTTTAATTTTTTATTTTTATTTATATTGAAATGCTTATATTAACTTTTTGATGATCATGTCATCACATGTTAAGAAGCATACGATGATGTTAATCTGTAGAGTTTTAAATTTATAATATGAATATCCTGTTTGGAATTCATAAATTCTCGAATTGAAAGTCTATTCATCTTTTTAATAGTAATTAATAAATTTAGTGTCCTTAATACTGATAGAAACTAAAAATTTAAATTGATAATTTTAAAATTTTCAACATTTAAATGGAATAACATATCTGAATAAGAATTGATAGTTGATATATTATGTGACCTAAATTTATAATTTTTAATTGAACTAATAGTTGATGTTTTATGTCACTTAACTTAATATTTTTTTGTTAGATACACGATTTGCAAATAACCGTCCTAGTTTAATATTTATAATTAAACAAAATAGAACTAGGAAACGTTTTCCTTGGTCACCAAGAAAAAACTTGCAGTATATATATATGATATATCCCCCTCCCAAAGCTCAATTCCCTCATTCTCTGCAAATCACCATCTAAAAAATCCCTAATCTGTCTCTCATACAAAACCCGATCAAGCAAAACCCATTCCCATCTCCTTCCTCGCGATGGCTTCNACAACTCCCCGACCTTCCTCTCCTCCGGAAACCCCTGCCTGGACTTCTTCTTCCACGTCGTCCCCGACACCCCGCCGGAGGCCCTCGCCCAGCGCCTGAAGCTCGCCTGGGAGGACGACCCCTTGAGGGCCCTGAAGCTCGTCTGCAACCTCCGCGGCGTTCGCGGCACCGGCAAGACGGACAGGGAGGGCGGCTACACGGCGGCCCTCTGGATCCACCAGAACCACCCCAAAACCCTCGCCTGCAACGTCGCCCCTCTGGCCAAGTTCGGCTACTTCAAAGACCTCCTCGAGATCCTCTTCCGCCTCGTCGAGGGCCCCGAAGCCCGCGAACAGGCTAAAGCCGCTTACCGGATTTGGAAATCGAGCGGCTCACGCCGCGCTCTCGAGCTCGCCAAACTCCGGCAGGCCAAAAAACCCAAACCCACGGCCCCACGCTATGGCGGCATAACAAAGAAGAAGACCTTCGGCCAGAGGAGGAGGAGATCCAACAACACCTCGAACCAGCCGAAATTAAGCAACGAGGAGAAGAGGCTCGAGCGCGCGAAGAAGGCCTTGGAGAAGTTTAGCCGCGACCCGGATTACAGATTCCTCCACGAGCGAGTCTCGGATTACTTTGCCCTGTGCCTGAGATCGGACATGGAGAAACTGAATTCCGGCCAATCCAACAAAATCAGCCTCGCCGCCAAGTGGTGCCCCTCCCTCGACTCCTCGTACGACCAGCTCACTCTGCTTTGCGAGCCCATTGCCAAGAAAGTCTTCCCGAGGTCCGAATATCCCGAATACGAATCAGTGGAGGAGGCCCACTACGCCTATCGTGTTCGGGACCGCTTGCGTAAGCAAGTTCTTGTCCCTCTTCGTAAAGCCCTCGAGCTGCCGGAGGTCTACATGAGCGCGAAGCAGTGGAGTACACTCCCTTACAGCAGGGTATCCTCTGTTGCCATGAAAATGTACAAGCAGGTGTTTGCCGAGCACGATGAACAGAGATTTGGGGAGTATTTGGAGAAGGTGGACAAGGGTGAGGCCAAGATTGCCGAGTATTTGGAGAAGGTGGACAAGGGTGAGGCCAAGATTGCCGCCGGAGCTCTGCTTCCGCACGAGATAGTCGCCGGACTTGAAGAAGATGAAGAAGATGGTGGCAGTCGCCAGGTGGCGGAGCTTCAGTGGAGGAGAATGGTGGATGATTTGGCGAAGAAGGGGAAGATGAGCAATTGTCTAGCGATTTGCGATGTTTCGGGGAGCATGGAAGGTGTCCCAATGGAAGTCTCGGTGGCTCTCGGGGTTCTGGTTTCTGAGCTTAGCGAGGAGCCATGGAAGGGTAAGCTCATCACCTTCAGCGCGAATCCCAAGATTCAAGATGTGGTGGGATCGAGTTTGGCGGAGAAGACGGGTTTTGTGAGGAGAATGGAGTGGGGTATGAACACTGATTTCCAGAAAGTGTTTGATTTGCTGCTTGAAGTTGCGGTGGCCGGGAAGCTCGAGCCTGAGCAGATGATCAAGCGGCTTTTGGTGTTTAGTGACATGGAGTTTGATGTGGCGTCCGGCCAGCGGTCACCATATAGTTTATCAAGGGTTGTTGGGACTGGCGGCAAGTGGGAGACTGATTACGAGGCCATTGTGAGGAAGTTTGGGGAGAAAGGGTATGGGGAATGTGTGCCGGAGATTGTGTTTTGGAATCTGAGAGATTCTCCGGCGACTCCGGTGGCGGTGGGGAAGGCGGGAGTGGCGCTCGTGAGTGGGTATTCGAAGAATATGATGAAGGTGTTTTTGGAGGAAGGTAGGATTATTAGTCCCGAGGCTGTTATGGATCAGGCGATTGCGGGGAAGGAGTATGAAGAGCTGGTTGTGCTGGATTGATTGATTGCGACGGATTGGGTATGGGTAAGGGGAATGAGATTTGAGGATTTGGGGTTTGGTGGGTGGATTGGATTGGATTACATTGGTTTGGATTGGATAGAATAGTTTGGTTGCAATTGATTTGGCCAAAGGGTTTCATAATTGATTGCTCTGTGTTTTTAGAATTTGGCCAAAAGGGTTTGATAATTGCTCTATAGTTTGATATAAATGGAACTTCAGTTTTATTTTATGTATTCNGAAAACTTCTTCACATCTTTTCTCCCCCATTTGGCAAAATTGCAAAAAAAGGGAAAAAAAAAAATCATTGCATGTATTGTATGGTCGAAAAAACCGACTCTAAATTTCTTAAAATAAAAAATTGTTAATCAAGTACGTTAAGGACAAGAATCACAAATATTGACACAAATATCTGTATGTTTATTATATTGTTGGTAATATGAATTTTTTTAAATTAAATAAAAATGATCTTAAATATCATAACATAAAAAGTATGAACTTTTAAATTATAGTAATAAAATGGGATATTTTATGTTTCACATGAAGTAAAATGACAGACAATAAGTGTATATTTTAAATATTTTTAATAAAATAACATGGGGTAATGTTTAAATTTTATAGCATCCTTGATATTTTTAACAAACATATTGACATAGAAATTTGAAAAGTTTTGGTCCTTCTACAAAAATAATAAAATAGATTAAAAATGAAACATATCAAGGATGTAATGAAGGTGTTTTTGGAGGAAGGTCGGGTTTCGGATATGAATTTGGAGGCGGCGATTGGCGATTATGAAGAGCTTCTTGTTTATGATTGATTTTAGTTTGAGTTTAGTGTATAGATGGTTTGAGTCAAGTGGTGGGAAGTGTGTGAATTTGTTAGAGGATTAGATTTTATGGCAAATTGTGAATGGGGGACGTTTAAACGCAAAGAAAAAAAAGGGCGTTGTGGATGACAGAAATACACATTATTCAAGAAATACGCTTCATCTTGATACTATATATATAAGTCAAAAAATAGAATAAAAATAATTTATTTTTTGAAAAAACGTGACAAATGAAGTGAAAATAAGAGGAAATACATTCACTAGTGTGTCACTAAATGAAGCTAACCTGATGCAAGTTAACATAAATCACTTTTTTTTTTTATCAGGCAAGAATACTATCCTAGTATCCTTTGTCCCTGCTATTATTCATATATCTATCTCCATTGACAAGTTCAATGATAAACTATGCCATATCTAAATTTAGATGAAGCCCAGCACCTGACACAAGTCTCAATAGACAAACAAGAAAAAAATTCAAAGGAAAGCATAGCCAGTTCCCTATCAACAATATGGGAATATGACTGAGCAAGGTAGAAAGTGGCCAAGAGAATAGATCAAACGGAACTGCACCATAATATGATCATCACATAATCCATCTACCCATGATGCACTGAAAGTCTACAATTGCAGTCGAAAAACCAAATAAACACGCCCATCAGTCACAAAAAGCACAAACCAAACGATAACAGCAGTTAGCATCCCACAAGACTTTGTACACAGATTCTCAACAGAACTCAACTTTTAAAGCGCAAACCCATTAAGACTGCATGGCATCAGCATGATAGCTCTCGAGCTCCTTGTCAAGTTCATCAGCCGATTTTTTAACAGTTCTCTTTCTCCTTGCACCACGGCCACGTCTGCCGCCACCTCTACGGCTGCTGCCACCACTTTGGACATTGCTTGGGCCACCACGATTTCTTTGCCTGGCCAAAGTTATATAACTTAACATTAGAAAGATAAAAAATTGTCTACGGTTCTCTCCACAAGTAAGCCATTACCAACTCATCTTTAGGCCTTAACCAATCAAAAACATGAACATAATTACATCTGGCAGACCTCAGATAGCAAACTATTTCATGATAATATAAAGAGAATATGCCAGGAACATGGTCCAATACAATCGTGCGAATTCATAGTTCTTATTACACATCTGTTTCCAAAGCATAAACATCAAAATTATTAAGATCACATATGAACAGTTCCCAGCTTCTTGAGAGAGAGAGAGAGAGATGTACACATATAGCAAGGTAAACACGACATTTATCAATTATGAACACTCGCCATACCCGTGGAGCTAAAGATTTTATGGCTAAAAACGTGAACGAACGTGCATTTGGAAACTTACACAGAATTGTGATTAGCCGCTGCAAAGCCACCTCTAGAACGGCCAGGTCCAGGACTGCATTAGTAAGAGCACATTAAACTTCTCTTTGTCGAGAAAGGAGAGTTGGAAATGATTACATTGGAAAATAGATTGGTGAAAGTGTAGCGTCTGGAAAAAGATTGAAAGCACAAAATATATAACTTTAAAACCATCTGTCAAGATTCAACTGATGCTATTCATGAATCAGTGGAGCATACAACTGAGGTCAGTGACGAACTGTTTTATTATTCATAACTTATTGTAAATAACCTTTACCTTTCTTGCTCAAAATGTTAAACAGTAGGGACACTAACCAATAGGAAAATAAACAACAATCCAGAAAAAAATTAAACAAACATTTAAAAAAGGACAGATGAAGTTTGAAAAATAAAAGCACATACGTCATGACAACTGTCCTCTTCTTTCCATTTGGTCCGCTAACATTAAAACGAGGTGAAATGGGGATCTCCGCATTGGCACCTATTATGTCTATCTTCATAGGCCTTCCATCCAGCTGAACATTGTTATATCGCTTAAATGCTTGAAGTGCGTCTGTTTTTCTAGCAAAAACCACCTCTGCTGTACCCTGTTTCAATATGAAAGAAAATAAATTTAAACAGAAGCAATTAGGTATAGAGAAACAGGCAAAATAATGTTTTTAATATGAAAAGATTCTCATGTTCATGTTTCAAACCATAATCTCCAAGCAGATTCCAAAAAATTTAATTCTACATGATATAAGCTACATCAATGATCTTGGCAAATGCTGAAAAAGAAATTTCTATCAATAAGGAATTTTCAGCAAGTGAAAAGCAATATTTCCAGCATTGCGTTGAATTAAAATGTTCCAGTTTACATATAAACTCATAACACATTTAAAACTTAAAACCAAAAAAGTAAATAAGAATGTGAAAATCCCCCTTCATCATGACAAGTTTCCTTGTCATTTTTCATTTGGGTCCTTTTTCTTATTAAGAGCGAAAGTTTCTTTGTGGGAACTAAAATACATCTTCATATCTAGAGACCATGCCTGGGTTATGTTAATAGGCACCGATTAGTGTGACAGGTTACATTCCATAGGCATGAAGTTTATTCAAATGCAGATAACCAAGATGTAAAAATCAAATTCAAAAGTTTGCACGACAAAAATGTTAATACTGAACTATAAGCTACATGAGATCCCAACTTACACTTGGACGCCCATCTTTGTCGAAGTGAATTGCATATCGAACCAACTCTCCAATTTCCGAAAACAGCTCCTGTGTTGCAAGGTTTTTCAGCAAATTCCAAACAGAAACCCATGGCAAAGATGAATAAAATATCGAAGCACCACATAGATAATCAATACCCTTATATCTTCATTGGTCACCCCAAAGTCCAAGTTGGAAATATATAGCTTTGTACCAGCTTCCAACCCCGATATACCAGCAGATTTAAGACTATCTTCAAACAAACCAGTATGCCACGGTAGAGGCCTGGGTCTGCGGATGGACTGATGCAAACAAACCAAAACAAAGAACGAGATCGTATAAACTGATGTCAGCATATGACCAGAAAATAATATTTTACTGCTCTTTCAAGTTAAAGTAGGGCATCAGCAAAGTTCCAGGAAGAAATCAGATGGTAAATCTCAAACAATCGAAATCCGAGGTACATATTTAATCTACTCAGTAATCAGATTTTCCGCCACATAATGCTAGCTAGTTCCATGTGCAAGGTCATAGACCAGTTCTCAAGTTCAACATAGGAATTCACCTCTGCAGGACGCCTTGAACTGAAATATGACCGACAACTTGTCTCAACGTGATACAAGAGTATTACAATGGTAGCCACCACAAGACAATTGAGATCCATCATAAACTCCCCCTCTTATATTTGATTGTGGTCCACTAGAGAGATCTTGATTAAATATTTATCAATAAAGGCTGCTAACAAGGTCAAGCCTTAAAATATTAGTGGGTATTAAATTGGTGAAAGTTCTTAGGTTTTCAAACAAGCTCCTCGACATAAGATTCTAAGCAAAATTCCACCAAATATCCTGCTTTTGACATATGTTAATCGCAGAATCCTCAACAAAAACCGAGAAGATCAGATGAACAATCAGGTGCTTAGAGCATTTTTCTGGAATATAACAGCAGTATTTCCTTGCTGAGGAACTGTGGCCATCTCCCAGGGCCAAATACTGTGGCAAAACCTCTCAAATTCATGCTTATAAACCTTCTTGTGAATTATTACAGCATATCAGATTGTCTATGTATTTCATAAGGCATCCACAATTTTGAGCTTGCCTTGGCAGTTGCAAAGGATGACGATCGAGCATTTACTCCAAGTGGATTTCTGCGAGGAGGCCCAAATCCACCAAATGGTCGTCCAGCTCTGGATGACCCTATTGGCCCTCTTCCACGACGGAGCCTGCCTTGGCCTGGTTTTTCATTATTTCTCCGGCTCTTCTTAATCACATCATCCAAAGCCATATCCAGAGATGCCATAGACAACAAAAATGTTGCAAGACTCTCCCAACTGAAGTAATCTGCACAAATAAAACATATAGATTTGGTTCTCAAATCAGAAAATTGAGTCAACCAATCGACAAATAAGTTATCAATGTTAAACAGCAAAGATATCCCAAACTGACAAGTGTTTTTCAGAAATTTATCTAATCAAAGCGATGAATGTACGCCTAATGTAGTCAGATCGAGTAACTTCATGCATCAAGAAAAGCAAATGTGAAAGAAAGTACTTGATCAACCAAATCGCAGGACTTAAAAAACAACCCAGAAAAAGAAGGACCTCTTTCTTCTATCTGAAGATCTGGAACTCTAGCAACCCACACAAATTTTCTAATTCACAAGCTAACATACACGTCTCTTCCTGATAATTCTATATAATTTAGTAATTTACCTATGAAACTAGATCCAAACGAGGCAACGATATAGA